AAGGATGGCCTAGCGGCGAACTGCCAACTTTCGCTGACCAGACACAGACCAACGCCCAACTGAAAGATAAAAAGTATAATCTTACACGTCAATTTATCAAATATAAGCCACTACATTGGCGCCTGGCAGCGATAAATCGATAGCTAACACACACGGTCACTACCAGACAAAAATACAATATACACACGCCCGCCACCGCCCCCGCGCCCGCATCAGAGAGACGAGAAGAGAATAAGGAGAGAGAGAGAGGCGAGAGAGAGAGCCGAGAGAGAGAAAGATATAGAGACGAGAGAGAAAAGAGGAGCGAAAGAGAGAGCGAGAGAGAGAGAGAAAGAGAGAGAGTAGAGAGAGAGAGAGAGGACGCAATGAGAAGAGAGGAGAGGAGAGAGAGAGAGAGAGAGAGAGAGAGAGACGAGAGAGACGAGAGCAGTAGAGAGAGGCGTGAGAGAGAGAGAAGAGCGGCGAGAAGAAGAGAGCGAGAGAGAGAAGAGAGAAAAGAGAGAAGAGAGAGAGCGATGGAGAGAGCGAAAAGAGAGAGAGAAGAGAGATGAGAGAGAGCAGAGAAGAGAGAGAGAGAGAGAGGCAGGGGGCACGCAATATAATTAGCAATATATAAGTCACAGACGAGGAACCGGCTTCAACGAATACCCTGGACCTCCTATAGCACTGTCCCATTCGGCACTATTCTATTTACATACTATGATCATCGATATTGTCGTGAACTCAAGATTTCACACTACGTTGTATTTCACAGCTGAAAACTGCAAAATAACCGAGCCTGTGTGCGAACTAACATCAAGAAAAATTTACTTACCTTGGTTGAATGGTAACATTGTACTGAGCATCAGCCCTGATTTAAGTCCCACTCTGCAAATTTTTTACCCTGCGCTGTTATGTCAATGCGTCACTGCATTTCTGGCGTTGTGTAACCTCCAGATTTAAGTTAAGAGCCTAGTCGTTGATGTTGCTATTGGTGTATTCGAGTGCGCAAGCACAGCGAGGGCCTCTATCAAGCAAAAATTGTAGCAGACGCACAAACGCTCTAAAAAAGGCTCCTCCAGACGAAGCAGACAGTGTTTAATGCAACACTACTATACACCAAGCAATTTTCCGCTCGTGTCGTCACCTCGACTGTTGCCAGAGAAACAAGCATATGTCTAGATCACGCGCAAGATTCTTATATTCGGTACGCAACCGCACATCCCATAACACGCACCACACACCACACACACACACACACACACACACGACACACACACACACAACACACACACACACACACACATATCACGCACGCACAACACACACGCGAACACACAACACACACACACATCACACACACACACCATCTCACACCACACCCAAGACGCACACACACCACACACACCAAGATACACACAGCACGACAGCGCACAACCGCACGCACACGCACAACACACACACACAATGTGTGCACCCACACACACACACACACCACGCACCACACGAACTTACGCACGAGTCGCAGCGCACCACGCGCCACCGCGCAATCAGCGCAACACACGCGCACGCTACACACACGCACGCGCACGCACGCACGGACACACAGCAGCCACAGCACACACACACACACACACACACACATCACGAACACACACACACAGCACACATACATCACGCTGCCTGCTTTAATTATTAATTTTTTATTACTAAAACGAATTACTAATGTTAATTATACGCAATCAATTCTAGGCGTAATGTGTAGCGCTTTGGGGACATGACAGCGTTTGTTGAAGAAGGGTTTATAGGCAGCGAACGGTAGGTGGGAACAGGTTCGAATCCGCAAATGGGTGCGCGAAATTCCTGTTTACGTTTGTTTCATTAATATATGTACGTCCTAATGTATCGTAATGTACGGTAGAAAAAGTCGCAATGGAATAACACTAACAACGCTCATTAATATCGCTTAAATATAATCTTGAATTATTTGTAATTGATGTTGATATCCTTGTGATGAAACCAAAAAGAGTTTCCCGCGCCATTGGGTATCCGAACCTGTCCTATAGTTCGCTGCTCAA